GAAAACCAATCTTGTGGTCAGTCCTACTACTACAGACATGTATGGGAGATGTGCAGGGTAGCTCAAACATTTAGGATGATTTTATCAAACAATACTGGAAAGCACCGTAACTACCACTTTCATTTTCAAATTGCAAACATGAAATTTAAACTCATACAGAAAGTGAAAGTATGTTGAGGCCTCAGTTTAGTTATACATTTTTTTTAAAAATCAGGACAGGGAACAGTACTTACGTTGAATGAAAAGTGCCAATGGTTGCTCTTCTTGTTAAGGTTCAAATGTACGCTGGTCCTGTGTGACGCAGGGGAGTCCCCGTTTTCCAAAATGCAGCCACACAGAACTGCAGGGTCCTGCACCATGTTTTTCCGATTGCTCTTTTGAAGACCACGTCTGTTAAAGAGCAACGCGTTTTGCCTGCGAGTTCAGGAACACGTGATTAGTACACATTCCCAGACGCGCATATGTGTGAATCTCACCTTATAGTCCAACTCTTAATCAGCGTCTCCGTGTCAAGAAAACCCAATAGTGCTGATGTCTTCTATTAGAAAATTCTTCTTTCTTTCACAAGTGATAAAATCCTCTTCCTCCACTTAATACCCTCAAAGAAATATAAATCGCATATAGTGCATTATCCAAACCGTATGATATCCAACACAAAAAAAAACGCACTTACAAAATTAGTGCCAATAAGTGAAAAATCACTCCACTCCACTCCACCGTGTGTCCACTTCTAACCTTCTGTCATCCTTACTCTAACCCTCTTAAAAATTTAGAAAAGCATCCACAAAATCCACCTTCCTTCGTGGTTGTGCTCGTAAATCTGTCCACTTTCGTATGAAAAATGTACCTCCGAAGGAATTACATATAGTGTCATATCTTCAAAACCGTAGACGTGCTCCCCTCACATCAAAAAATGTTTCCCAGTGCTGGTGAACACACTGACCACCACCACATATCTCATGCACCTTATCAAATGATAAAGTCCACTTGCATAAAAAGGGGGGAGGCTCCTCTCACTCCAAAATGTATCTGATTCACAATGGCATCATAACATGTGACAAAGTATACCCAAAATAGTGTAGTAGGCAATAATAGGGATATCGCTCTTTAATGACAAAATTGTTCTTACAAACAAGCAAGATGTCTCAGCATAAATTCCAATGGCAAAACAGTATGAAAACCTTTTCCAAAATGGCCGCTCCGTAACTTCCGGTTTACGTCCTGACGCGTTTCGTCACTTCCACTTCATCTGAGCCTGTGCACATAGGAATCGCGGTCACTTCGGAATCACTTGTAAAAGAAAGAAGAATTTTCGAATAGAAGACATCAGCACTATTGGGTTTTCTTGACACAGAGACGCTGATTAAGAGTTGGACTATGTGCTTTGGACTTTCAGGGAGAAAGTATAATTTGGCTTCTGGGGTTTATTATTTATTGTGCTAGCACTTAGTAGCACATTGATACATTTACTTATTTATATGAATCTAAGCTTAGTTGAAATCATCAGTCTTCTGGCTCTTTTTCCACACTGGTATTGTTATTAGAGGGTGGATGAAAGGTTCAGTGTAGTAGAGCACTTTTGGTAGTTGCTTAAACATTTTTTTTTTGGTCTATACATTTGACTCAAAAAAGGGACAACTGACAAGGGGTTGGAAATTTGGTTCCAAAACAGAAACCGACCCTCCAAATGAGGAATGGTTGGGAGCAATGTTTAATTAAACAATATCTTCTATTCAAAACTTCAATGAGTGAAGACTGATTTGCTTTCTTTATACATTTTCTATTGCAGAAATTAGAAAAAAAAAAAAGACTACTTTTCTTTGTCACTTTCTGTACTATGTTGGTACATTGTGAAACGGCCTCTGTTTTGCTTTTGTAACCTAGTACTTTTGACCTGTAAGAGACTTTAAAGGCCCTTTTTAGATCTAATCTTACATAGATCAAACCATTGTCATAGCCTGAGGCAGTGAGCTGTATAACAAATCTCTCCTTTGTTAATGTGGTTTATACACTCTGTGTGTTTTCTTTTCCCACTGTCTTTTTTTTATTTTATATAGGGCCTAACAAAGTAAAATGCTGGGTGTGCAGCATGGCAAGCTATTAACACAGAAATGCAGAAGAAGCATAGAAGACTGATGGCACAAAAAGACCAAATGTTCCCCTTAGCCCTTTTTTTAACATTTTCTCGGGAGATAGACCTGTACAGGGGCGGACTGACAACTCATGGGGCCCCCTGGTAATAGGGGATCATGGGGCCCCTGTGTCCTCACCCACACCCAAAAAAGCCTATGAAAAAGCCAATAAAAGGTATCAGGGGCATCTCATAGGGCCCCCTACTAACCCCAGGCCCTCGGGCAGTGCCCGAGTGCTCCAATGGTCAGTCCACCCCTGGACCTGTATTTATCCCAGGCATGTTTCATTTCACCTAAGATGGCCATACATGGATCACATGGATCAAAATTTGTCTGATTCAGCAGGGCCTGGCAGAATTCCTCCCCATGTATGGGCAGGGAGGTTGTACAGATGTCGATCTACCAATCAACTTCTGGACAACCACCCTTTTGGAAAATTTCCTGTTTGATCAGTGCCACTGATACAGTGTATTCTGATAGCAGGGAAGTCTCCTCGCTGTCAGAAAACAGCGGCTAGGTGGGGAGGATTTCCCCATTCAAATTGAGGCTCCATGCACACTACCATTTTTTTTTTTTTTTTAAGCTTCAAAAACTCTGGAAAAAAAAACTTTGGATAAAAAAATGCTGGTAATAGCAGTTTTTAGTAGCGTTCAGAAGCATTCCCCCATCCTCTGGAACTCTCTACCCCAATTTATCAGACTATCGCCTACTCTGCTCACTTTTAGGCTATCTCTGAAAACCTGTCTCTTCAGGGAAGCCTATCCTGCCCTCAGCTAATAATGGAATCTTCTACTCTTCCAACCAGTCATCCCCCACAGTTACTACCTTTTGTATCACTAGCCCCTCCCTCCTAGATTGTAAGCTCCAAGGAGCAGGGCCCTCCTATCCCTCTTGTATTGAACTGTATTGTTGCTGCATTGTCTCCCGTTATATTGTAAAGTGCTGAGCAAACTGTTGGCGCTATATAAATCCTGTATAATAATAATTTAGGAGTGTTGGCATTTTTACAGTACTTGTAGAGGGAAGAAAAAGCTAGAAAAACGCTGCTAGGAGCATTTTAGTAGTGTTTAGGAGCAGTTAGCTTTTTTTTTTTTTTTTTTTCTGGAAAAATACTCCAAAAAACTCAACAAAAACAATTTTTATTCTGCACCTAGATGCTGAAGCTCAAGAAATGCTACTAGCCTGAAGTAGTGTGCATAAAATCCAAAATATTAACATTGACGTACAAAGCTGTTCATAACACTGCCCCAAACTACATCACCGACCTGATATCCATCTACCACCCAAAACGCACTCTCTGCTCCTCACACAAGACCTCCTACTCTCCAGTTCCGTGGTCTCCTCCTCCCATGCCTGTCTCCAGGGCTTCCCCCATCCTCTGGAACTTACTACCCCAATCCATCAGACTGTCACCTACTCTCCTCACCTTTAGGCGCACCCTGAAAAAACATCTCTTCAGAGAAGCCTACCCAGCACTCCCCTAATTGCTGATCTCCTCTGCTCTTCCCACCACTCCATCCCCCACAGCTATTTCCTCCTGTACCACTCTCCTCTCCCTCCTAGATTGTAAGCTCCAAGGAGCAGGGCCCTTGAACCCCTCATGTATTGTATTGTTACTGTACTGTCTCGTGTACTGTCTCCCATTATAATGTACAGCGCTGAGCAAACTATTGGCGCTATATAAATACTGTATAATAATAATAATAATAATGGACACATCGTATTCTGGGAGCAGAAAAAAAATGCTAATAACAGCTTCTAGGAGCTTAAAAAAGTGCTGGTGTGCATGGAGCCTTGGTGTGTAGATGGGGGAATAGTCATTTTGTTTCTGCTCAACCCACCGGGATGCCCGCATTTACTTTATGAGGTTTGGTGGGCACTACTGCTTTTATTGAAAATGCATCATCAGAATGATTGCTTGAAGTGTTACATTCTGACTCTTGTCACATTATTATCATGCTTTTTGAACATGGCACTTTGTTTCTGTAAATAATTGAAAACAAAAAACTATGAAAAAAAAAATTAAATAAAAAGTTTATCTGACAAATGGATATTTCAATACAAAATCCCACTTGGGATTAAAAAAGACCCCCCCCTCCCCCCTAGAGAAAAAAAAATTTGGAGGCAGCAGGGCTGCCCCCTGAAAAGCAATCTGCTCCAGATTGCTTTTCAAAAGGTAGAAGACACTAATTCCTATGTGAAAAAGCCCTAATTCCCTATGGGAGAATCAGTTTTCTGTGAGCAGCTGCTGTTCTGTGGTGGTGGCTGTTCACAAGTAGTTGGGCATGACATGATTACCTGTAGGCGATTGGCTGGAAGCAGTCTGTTTGGAGGGTCGATCATCTGCAGGTAATTGAATGCAATCTGATTGCATGTGAACAACTGCACATGGCTGCAGGCGCTGTCAGCCTCTCATTGCTGTGTATGGTGCTTCTGACCAGCAGCTGTTCACAGGCAACCCTTCTGAGTCTCCCGCAGGATACTGTTGGTGCCAAATGCAGGTGTGGATGAGGCCTAAGGGCCTGTTTACCCCGGAAATCCCACCGAAACGCTTGGTGTGGTCCTGTGCGATTCACATGCACCACACCAAAAGTAGAGCATACACTGCTTTTGGAAATGCACTGCAACCATAATGCATGGTACTTCTGTACCATGTGATCCATTGCGGGCAAACGCACTGTGTTTGTGACCTGCATTTCGGGTGTCATAACTTAGCATTTCTAAACCCACAGCAGTAAAATCAGTCTGTATATGCAGTACAGCATGCTTGTTATACTCACTGTGGAACCTAAGGGGTTAATCCTCTGTAGTATGTAAAAAGGCCGTTTGATCCTGACTTCTCTGATCCTCCCCTTCTTTCATTGTTCCCCTCTTATCTCCTGATAAGACATATCGTGTGGAGACACTGCACATGCTCAGTTTAGTGTGCATTAGAGAGGTTTTTTTTTTCTATTTGGAGAGTGCATGTGATCAGCACAGGGCCAATCAACACTGTCCAGATAGAGGTCAGGGGTTCTACATCCTCCTAGAGAAAACTCCTCCTACAAGTTTTAACTAGTGCTCAGCTGAATACTGATAGAAGTCACAAGACTGCTCTTAACTGCTGATGAGAAAAGGTATTTATCAATTTATACAGACAATAGGAAGAAGGGTCAGCCGCACGCCGGAGGATAGATGAACATAGTGTGTATTTATTGGTCCACAGGACACACAAAACATCAGGACATGAATACAGGACTTGTTAATGCGTTTCACACGATCTTAATCATATGATTAAGCACGAGATCATGTGAAACACGTTAACAAGTCTTGTATTCATGTCCTGATGTTTTGTGTGTCCTGTGGACCAATAAATACACACTATATTCATCTATCCTCTGGTGTGCTGCTGACCCTTCTTCCTATTGCATCATGTGTGGTGGCGAGCCAGAGCCTGCACCTGTTGTGGATTGATCTGGATTGTTTGCCTCAGTGGTATACCTTTTTGTTCTTTGACTTTATACAGACAGACTGAACAGGTCATTCTACACATGCTCAGTTTAGTGTGTATTGCTAGAGTTTTTTTTTTTTCTTGGGAGAGTGCATGTGATCAGCACATCAACACTGTTCAGACAAAGGTCAGGGGTTCTGCATCCTCCTAGAGCAGAAAGAAAACTCCAGTTACAAGCTTTAACCAGTGTTCAGCTGAACACTGATAGAAGTCACACGACCGCTCTAACTGCTGATAAGAAAAGGTATTTAGCGGTTTATATTTACTAAAATAATTGCATTTCCATGTTCTGTGTACTGTGGGAGACCAGATATAGTGCATGCAGGGTCCTGGGTTTAGTAACACTTTAATATTGACACCCCCTGCAGATCCCAGTTGCAGTGCGTTTTGAATGTGGTGCTGGCATAGCGCACGAAATGTGGATTTCGGCACCGTGTTCTGGTGTCAGCTGGTTCTAAGTGGTGTCTGTTTTCTTGTGTCACAATGCTCATTTGCCTATTATTTTGTGTCACTTAACAAAATGCAACATTTTATCATCAGACAGAAAACTATCTTCCTGAATTCGTAAAGCTAATCAACTCTATTCAGGTAGTAAAATTGGACTTTAGCGTGGTGTCCTTGGTTGATAATAAAATCGCGGTCTGTTTACATTTTTCATATGTCGTGTTGTTGTTGCTAGGTAGTAAACAATGGCACATAAAGCTAGTTTTGTGGTGCGACTAGAACTAATGATTTCCCACTGTTATTTTATGTAGCAGTCTTCTAAAGTTCACATGGAATGGTGCACAGCATCTGTTTCCAAGCAACCTCTCAGTGCGGATGTATTTTTAAATCATCCACACACCGTTCATTAGAATTCTTTGTATGGACATGTTCTGTCTGCAGGTTTTACCCCCCGATTCACATATGTGCGGGCTGCGTTTTACACGGGCACGAGAGCCCATTCATTTGAGTAGACTCCCCTGTTCCGTGACACACAGAGAAGAAGTCCCTGCACTTCTTCTGAAAACACAGCCCGCACGGGCACCAAGGTTCCCAGTACAGTTTGCGTTTTCCAGTGCGGGCAGCGTGCCATTAAAAATAATGGCACGCCGCCCGCACTGGAAAACGCAACCGTACTGGGAACCGAGGTTCCCGTGCGGGCTGCGTTTTCAGAAGAAGTGCAGGGACTTCTTCTCTGTGTGTCACAGAGCACGGGAGTCTACTCAAATGAGGATTTATTGTTACGTTTTGTAAGCTCTTTATTTCTTCCTTTTCCAATCACAACTCTCTAGAAATTCCTAGATCGCAGTTCTGAAATGTGTTTAAAAATCACTTTATTTTCATTTTGTTTCCTTTTAGCTTTGTTTTCCTCCCTTTCCCCATTGGCTTCTTTTTTTTTTTCTTTTCTGGTTGGCTGACCTTAGCTACTCAAGAATAGAGGGATGATGTCACTGTACAGAGAGGCTGTATAAAATTTTAACTTTACCTTGCAATCTGAGTGCTCACAACTGCTGTCTAGGGATTGTTGGAGTGATGTGATGCAGAAGACATAACAATAAAGTGCTTACAGCAGTCCCTACGCACAGTTACCCACTTGAAGACTGCAATATGTACATTCATGTCAGTACGTCAAGTGGTTATACTGGGATGATGCCTGCAGCTACAGGCATCAACCTGGTATTGTTTTCGGAGAGGTGATCGGCTTTTTTGTAAAAGCCATTCTAGTGTCTAATTAGCCACTGGATTGCTTTTACAGGTGGTAGGAGTCCCCCCTGCCTGTGCCTATTCGGGCTCCCTGTCCCACTGGAGAACCTGAAACTGAAGCCGGTGGTTCCTCCAGCTTACCAAGGAGCTTTTTGAGGACCAGAAGGTCCCTGATCAGCTCTATGGTATAGGAAATAAGAAGTGACACGTATTTTGTCACGTCCGGTTTCCCCGGTTGTAAACAGCGCCATTTTTAAATTGGAAAGGCATATGATCGCACTGATCTTGGTGTGATCAGATTCTTTTAAGGGCAGATGAGATTTCTGGAGTCTAATAGACACCAAATTGCTCCATAAACAGTATCTGTCATTGCCTCTTGCTGTCACAATCAATGTTTACATTTTATAGCAAAAAATACTGATTTTTGCATGTAAACAAAGTGTCATAAAAAGCCTGCTCTTAACCACTTGCCCTCCAGAGTATCCCCCCCCCCCCCCCCCCCCATCAGGTAATTTTTTTTTGCGTTACGGAGCTGCATTACTTTTAACTGACAATTGCGTGGTCATGCAACACTGCACCCAAATGAAATTGATGTCCTTTTTTTACCCACGAATAGAGCTTTCTTTTGGTGGTATTTAATTGCCTCTTTTTTTATTTTTTTGCACTATTAATAAGAAAACAAAAAAACACCGACAATTTTGAGAAAAAAATATTTTTTACTTTTTGCTATTAAACATGTCCAGTAAAAAAATTTAAAAAAATCAAATTTAGGCCAAAATGTATTCTGCTACATGTCTTTGCTAAAAAAAAAATATCTCAATATGTGTAAATTAATTGGATTACGTGAAAGTTATAGCATCTACAAATTTTTGGGAATTTTTTTTAACTAGTAATGGAAGCGATCAGCAACTTATAGCGGTATTGCAGCGGGTATTCTGACAGTGGGAGGGAACTGACTAACTGTCACTGACATCCCCAGTGACACCAATACCTTGATCAGTGCTAATAAAAAGCACTGACACTGTACTAATGGCACTGGGCAGGAACGGGTTCACATGTGGGGCGATCAAAGGGTTAACTGTGTGCTGTGTGTGTTTTTACTGTGTGCCAAGTCTGTGCTTTCAACTGTAAGCACACTGCTTTGTATGGCTGTTCTATGCATACAAAGCAGCTGAGAGGGGAGAGATCTGTATTGTTTACCTACAGTTCTCTCCCTCCATCAGTAATGCTCGGCAATCACTGGGTGCCTGTGAGTAATCACCGGCCGGGACCCGGTGATTGACAGACGAGGCTGCTAATAGTGGCGCGAGTAGGGCTCGCGCGCACCCCCTACCCAGAATTGCAAAATCATGTATGTATATACAGTCAGGTCCATAAATATTGGGACATCGACACAATTCTAACATTTTTGGCTCTATACACCACCACAATGGATTTGAAATGAAACAAACAAGATGTGCTTTAATTGCAGACTGTCAGCTTTAATTTCAGGGTATTTACATCCAAATCAGGTGAATGGTGTAGGAATTACAACAGTTTGCACATGTGCCTCCCACTTGTTAAGGGACCAAAAGTAATGGGACAGAATAATAATCATAAGTCAAACTTTCACTTTTTAATACTCGGTTGCAAATCCTTTGCAGTCAATTACAGCCTGAAGTGTGGAACGCATAGACATCACCAGACGCTGGGTTTCATCCCTGGTGATGCTCTGCCAGGCCTCTACTGCAACTGTCTTCAGTTCCTGCTTGTTCTTGGGGCATGTTCCCTTCAGTTTTGTCTTCAGCAAGTGAAATGCATGCTCAATCAGATTCAGGTCAGGTGATTGACTTGGCCATTGCAAAACATTCCACTTCTTTCCCTTAAAAAACTCTTTGGTTGCTTTTGCAGTATGCTTTTGGTCATTGTCCATCTGCACTGTGAAGCGACGTCCAATGAGTTCTGAAGCATTTGGCTGATTATGAGCAGATAATATTGCCCGAAACACTTCAGAATTCATCCTGCTGCTTTTGTCAGCAGTCACATCATCAATAAATACAAGAGAACCAGTTCCATTGGCAGCCATACATGCCCAAGCCATGACAATACCACCACCATGCTTCACTGATGAGGTGGTATGCTTAGGATCATGAGCAGTTCCTTTCCTTTTCCATACTCTTCTCTTCCCCATCACTCTGGTACAACTTGATGTTGGTCTCATCTGTCCATAGGATGTTGTTCCAGAACTGTGAAGGCTTTTTTAGATGTCGTTTGGCAAACTCTAATCTGGCCTTCCTGTTTTTGAGGCTCACCAATGGTTTACATCTTGTGGTGAACCCTCTGTATTCACTCTGGTGAAGTCTTCTCTTGATTGTTGACTTTGACCTACCTCCTGGAGAGTGTTCTTGATCTGGCCAACTGTTGTGAAGGGTGTTTTCTTCACCAGGGAAAGAATTCTTTGGTCATCCACCACAGTTGTTTTCCGTGGTCTTCCGGGTCTTTGGATGTTGCTGAGCTCACCGTTGCGTTCCTTCTTTTTAAGAATGTTCCAAACAGTTGTTTTGGCCACGCCTAATATTTTTGCTATCTCTCTGATGGGTTTGTTTTGTTTTTTTCAGCCTAATAATGGCTTGCTTCACTGATAGTGACAGCTCTTTGGATCTCATCTTGAGAGCAGACAGCAACAGATTCCAAATGCAAATACCACACTTGAAATGAACTCTGGACCTTTTATCTGCTCATTGTAATTGGGATAATGAGGGAATAACACACACATGGCCATGGAACAGCTGAGAAGCCAATTGTCCCATTACTTTTGGTCCCTTTAACAAGTGGGAGGCACATGTGCAAACTGTTGTAATTCCTACACCGTTCACCTGATTTGGATGTAAATACCCTCAAATTAAAGCTGACAGTCTGCAGTTAAAGAACATCTTGGTAATTTCATTTCAAATCCATTGTGGTGGTGTATAGAGCCAAAAATGTTAGAATTGTGTCGATGTCCCAATATTTATGGACCTGACTGTATGTGTGTGTGTATATATACAAACTCCCTCCTAGATTGTAAGCTCCAAAAAGCAGGGCCCTCCTATCCCTCTTGTATTGAACTGTATTGTCTCCCATTATATTGTAAAGCGCTGAGCAAACTGTTGCCGCTATATAGATCCTGTATAGTAATAATAAATATATATATATGATTTTGCGCACCCCTGCCGCCCTGTAGTATTATATCTGCTAAAGGGTGGCGGGAAAGCGGTTACTTATAGATTGGACAGCAAAAGGAATAACATGGGTCACTTTAATTGCATAGTACAGATTTTAGTCTGATCTGAATGTTCTGCTCAAGGCACCTACTGTAGCTAGAAACTGTAGTTTGATGTTTGCACCTGACTTAGTCATCTGACTACATTACTTCATGGGTCACAATTTTTGATTCTGTGTGTATTCCATGTCTTGTCACATGATTATTCCCAGATCTGAAAGTAGTCCAACCCAAAAGCCAAAGCCAGTATACTGCTTAACCTATACTTGGGCAGCTCTACAGAGCAGACTGTTAATATTTGTAACTTACTTGTCAGAATAACCATGCTCTTTTAAAAGCAAAGCAAGAACATGAATACACACAAACACATAACAAACCACATCCTATCTATTAGACGTGTGCGACT